TGTGTGGGTATATACGCGGGTGTGTGGGTGTTGGTGGTGGTGTGGGTGTGGGTATATATGTGGGTATGGGTGTGTGGGGGGGGGGTTGGGAGGGGTGGGGGGGGGGGGGGGGGTGGGGGGGGGGGGGGGGGGGGGGGGGGGGGACTCAGCGTCTTCTAAGGCACCTCTGAGCCCCGGTTTTCGAATAAAATACACGGTTTTTAAATTTTCCTGGGGGCTCAAAGGTTTCTGGGGGGGGGGGGCTGAGCTCCCCCTGGCTCCGCCACTAGTGAAATTCCTTGGTAGATCAATAAGATCTCAATCATTTTAGATCCTCTTCATATAATATCATCAAAAATGGTATAAAGTTGTTGTAGAATGCATCAAATGAATAAAGTACAAATTTTAGAACATATGTAAGAAAAAAACAGTTTCTCTATCAAATAAGAACACCGAATTCAAACTTCGATTTGTCATGATTGTTTGTTGCATTGAAGGCTAAACGATAGATGTGGAAAATAAAGCCTGATATAGGACATAGATGTACAAGAAAAAGTTCGGCATCATTCAGCATCGGCAGTTTTGTGGTGGATTGCATGTTTATTAGCTTCACAGTACCGTAATACACATATAGTACCATCATATATGTATGTTATTGTTAATTTACAGGAAAATAATTTTTGAACTTAGATTTAAAAACACATGCTCCTCTATAGATCTCTAATAATGGCCCGAAAATTTTCATTACACAGTTTTAATTCTTATTATTTTTTCTATTTCATGAACTTGCATAAAACATTTTGAAAGTGTCTTGTATAGAAGAACTTATTTCAAAGAAGAACCAAAAGGAAGTGAAAGCTTCAGATTATTCGTCAAACGCGGAATCTCTAGAAAAAAAAACATTACCAATTTTATAAACATTCGGAACCACAAAAATGATTGCCTGTGCTTATATGGAGCTTCAGAAAAACTATTTATCAACTTTGCATAATATTTTTGAAATGAGTTACATCAATATTAACACGTTTTCAGATATAATTTGCTTTCTCCTTTCTAAACAAAAAGCAATCAGAAAAGCGAATTTGGAACTTTTCTTTATACTTATCTAAGTCAATCAGACATTGTCATGGTAAACTCGAGAACATGCCACTCTCTAGTGAATTAGATATTCTTTAGTTTCGTATAGTAAAACAAGTTCTGATTTTCGAGATCGAACTTCGGAAGCAACAATATTTTGAATTTAACAAAAACTTAACACTGTGAGACTCGTAATAATCATCATCCAACACCTGATTGATCTTCTGTTAATGTTGATCATGACATGTCTGAATGAGTTCAATACTAATCGTTGAATAGTTGACTATACTAATTGAGAAATTTAATTCAACTTTCAAGTTTAATATCATGTCGGCCTATTTTTTAATGAACTCATCGACTGAATAGTATTTTTAGTCTTTTATTGGGAGTCTCATGTTAAATAATATTTTATTCATTTTTTAATGTTTAAAGGTGATAATGAATCTGTTAAAATAAATCTTTACAAATTGAAATGTATGGAACAAGAAAAAATTCTTAAAATAATTCATCATCAAACATTATTCGAAAGTAAGATAAAAACAATCGACACATTGTCTACGGAAATAATACTTCAGAATGAAATTCTTAATGATACTAAAAGAAAATTACTTATTAATAAAGAACAATTAGACAGTATTATCGCTGAAACAAACGAATTAATTCAAAAACAAATAGATTATGATAAACATGTACAAGTCAAACACAATACATGTAGCAAAATCGAAGAGAAATCTTCGATCATACTTATTGAAATTCAAACTCAAAATAACATAATAGAAGACCTTCGTCAAAAACTTCATTTAGCAAATTCTCGTAAGCAGGAACTGAATGTTCAAGTACAACACTTGAAAAACAAGACAGCACCTAAAACAGTACAATTGGAGAAAGATAAACAATTTATCAGTCAAACTATTAGAAATATTCAAGAGATAGATAAAAGACAAGAAAAAAATCAATTAATTATTAAAACGTTAATAGAAGAATTACGTGCGATGGAACAAGAAATGCAGGAACTACAAGAAAATATTCTTGAACATGAGAAACGCTATGATGGACTGTGTAAGAATCGTCAAGAAGTCAACAAAGGTCTTAACCAGAATGACGAAGTGATAATGAGCATTTACCAAAAACTAATAGATCCGAAGAACGTGATGCAACGAAGAAAAGAACTTGAAAGTAGAATACAATATAAGTACGCACCGCAATCATTTGAAATTCTTAAACGGTGAGTCAACGAACACAAACATTTTTCTTTTAAAGCTTAAGATCTAGTAGTTTGAATGAAATTTCGTTTGATATTTTGTTTCTAGTTCAAAAACTCTCCAATGAAAAATAAAACTTGAAAAATAATTGTTTCTAGCAAGAACTCTTATCTATGCGAACATAATTTTATACTATGTTAATCGGATATCAGTAATAATACTCAAATAAAATCATTTTTTTTCTTTCGGAGTCTAACACAGATATTACACTTGAAAAATATCTGCCTATTTTGTATCGAAAAACATTTCTCTTCATATTGTGTTTTGTTTAAAAACATACTTAATAACAACTATCATAGATTTCCATTTGAAATGATTATTTACCCCTTTATGCGTTCTTTACAGGCCTCAGTCTTCAGATAAAACGCCTACTGACGTGAAATCTACAATGTTTGGTGCCAAAAAAACTCGTATGTTCTTAACTAAAAAAAGTGAAAATTCAATGACTTATCTGAATAATCTTTGTAATTTAGCCATGGACGTCAACATGACACCTGATATATCTATACATCAGACAGAACATGTGACACTCGCCATCGAGGTAAAGCTGCCACTCTTATCAAACTATGATTAAATAAATCTTTATATTTTTTATTTTCAGTATCAAAGGTCGGCCAAATATGTTAGTGTAGAGTCTGCCTTAGGATGTTGCGAAGACCTCGTAGGTCTTACGTTCAAACTGGCTAATGTCAATTCTTGTTCTGAAAGTAAGCGTCCTTTCTGTCACGCATTACAGAAAAGTTTTCATTTTCCAACCTGTAGTAAATAACTCAGTATTTGATAGATTCTATATATGCAGTACTGTTTCATTTGTCGATAAAACATCCATATCTAATAAACTTGTTTAAGTAGTTCTTATGATTCGCTGTCAAAAATGTGGGGCTCGAAGAAGGAATCGTTTGACAAATCTTTGATTTTACACTGAGTAATTTCGTGGAGATTCTCAATAATGAGATTATTAAACCGTAGAATATTGAGTTCTTCATCTATTTCATGCTAAAAAAGAAATCTAAGGATCTTTTATCATAAGACCAAGTTTCTGCAAAATAAATTTGAAACATATCTCGAGAACATGACTTATTAGTATATAGATCAATAGGATTCATATAGGACAGCATCATTGCCATTGGAATTAAATTATTTCACGATAAATTTTTATCATAAGAATGATAAGCCTTGGTTTTTCGGTATGTAACAACTTAATCTACTTAAAAAGTCAAAGTGCATAATCACAAAACTGTAAGACTTCATTGCTTTATGCACAATCAATGGCATCCATTTGCTCAGATTGAATAAGTATTGTCTTAAATGATCGAATACAGAGGAAAAACAAACATATGTGAAGCTCGTAATCATCGAAATAAGTACATATATCCATAAATTCAAACCGTCTTGCTCTCGTTGGTTTCAATACAATTTCAAAGCAATGCGCATAGTTATGTACGACTCTAAAGCTGTCTCATAGATCTTTATAGATATGGTGAGGTTCTTGCATGCGACTGTAGGGATTTCATCATCTTCCAATTGTCAACCTATATAACTGACTTGAAAGATCATGTTATTTATGAGCAATTCTCGTTTTCTATACAACTCTGTTGACTTTTGTAAATGAGAAACATATCAGAAGATTGTTCGAAGTATCTCTGAACTTCATATTATCCCCAATTAATATGCATATGTCATAACTTTCCATGCTACCATTCTTTCTCTCATAAAAAGAGGATACGAAAACTTTGAACTTGGGTTTGAATGTCGCTCTGAAGAATATTAATGCCTACAGACCCAAACAGACTCACATTCTCTATTTATTATAAGTCGATCGAATACCACAATAAATTGATATTCTATCATAGGATTAAAGATGCTAACAGCATTTCGACATTTTCCAACGATATTTTAAAGTTCCGAGAACTTTGTACATGTTGCTTCATCAGATTGATATAATATTTGCAACAGCTCTGAAGTGTTCGATGAATTCGTTGTAGCATCTTCAAACTTTTCATACAGTACATCCCATTATTTTAGAAAATATAGTAATAATACAGTTGATCTACTTGCATTTATTATTTTGATTTTCGAAGATATTGTATAAGAAAAAGAAAAGCTGAAACTTAAGAAGAAAAGTTTATAAATTCAGACTCTCTCAACAATAATAATTTATATGTGAAGTTCTGATAATTATATTTATTTTGAATTGAAAAATTTATAACTTATTTCATGAATATTTTTGTTTAGAACTGATGTCTTCATCAAATTCTCCATTAAAACGAAATGTTAATATTATTGTGGCTTCACTGGGTGTGACAATGCCAGAATTCAAAATAAATTCATGTGAAAACTATGAGATTATCTCTTTCGATGACGTATGTGATTGTATTTCAACTCTTCTACCTATCAAAAATAAGTTGATTTATCTGATTATATCGGCCACGCTTGGAACATTCGTAGTACCTTTAATACACAATTATAGATCTATTGAAAATATTTATATTCATGAAAATTCGATCGATAAACAACCAACTGATTGGATAAAAGAATATTCAAAAATTCGTCAACACAATGAATCATTCGACCTTCTTATCGAAAAATTGAAAAATGATTTAGACATTTTCATAGAATATCCTGCCTGTGTGTCACGATCAAAGTCATTACTTTTTGAATTGTGTTTACAAACTACGCAAAACAAAAGCTTCAAGGATTTCGATATGAAACCGATGGATGATTTAAATTCTTTGAGTGTTCTAGTGTTAAATTTGCAGTTACTTTCATCGTTTCATTTGTTTCATTATACAAATATGTTTATTAAAGAATTTTATGATATTGATGATTGTATTGCTTGGATTCAATGTGAAAATTCTAGAACAATTTTTCTAATTATCTTGACGAATGAACTCGATGATTGTATTTCATATATAGCTGAATTCGATGCAATAAATGCACTATATATTATCACAGATGCAGAATATCAGCAAAAAATGCAAACGAAACCAACATATCTGAAGTTTAGTGGAACCATTTGTAACTATGAAAACTTATTCGAAAAACTAACAACAGATATTTGTTTCTATCGTCAAAGTCGAATACATTTACTAACTATGAATATATTCAAAATCGATTCACATATTTTAGATAAGCTTAGTAAAGATCAAATTGATATAATTCGTTTTCACTTTTTTACTGATATACTTCCACAGTTATCGATTCAATTAAGATCAACTAGTTTTGATAGTGACAAAATAAGCATTGATTCATTACCTTCTTATTTGATGGAACTAAATTGCACGATCAAAAATTTATTCAAACAATCTGATAGTTTTAAATTTGAAGAATCGATTCAATCATTGAAAATAATCAGCCAATTTATTACATCATTATCAGAGCAAGTTAAATCATCTACATTTACTGTTTATCGATGTCAATTAATGTCAAAAGCAGATTTAAAACTTATGCAAACTAATAATAATATATTGCTAAGCCCACAAAGTTTTATTTTAGCTTCACGTTCAATTCACTCGATTCTGAATTTATGTTGTCGAGCTGTTGATAATCGCCTATCTGTTATTCTTTTCGAAATAAAACTATCGGAGAAGACACCTGTTGTATATTTGGATTCGGATCTGATCTTACTTAATCTTGGTATTCTTTTTCGATTAGTATCGATAGATTTACGACCTGATGGTATTTTCCATGCTCAACTTGAACTAGCCAATGCAGTAATCGAACATATCAAAGAACAAATTCAATGTAAGCTCAGTGCTCGTCTTACATGGTTAACATTTGGTAATTATCTAATGGTTTTAAAAGATAATAAAATTGCTGAAGAATATTATCGTTGTCTGTTAAATATGATTTCACCTGATCATCCGAGTCTTGTATCGATTTACAATAATATGGGTTTAATGTACATGACGATGAAGAAAAATCAACAAGCATTGGAATATTTGGAAAAAGTATCTACATTTCCAAGTCAATCTACTCTAAATGTAACTGAACCAAATGATTCATCGATGTCAATTATACGATTTTCTCATGAAACGGCTGCTAATAGATCATCAACACTAAATAAAATAGCAGAAGTTAGCTATCATCTAGGAGATTATTCAACAGCACTTGATTGTTATCAACAACTATTCGATATGGAAGATGATAAAAACTTACGTGAATTTTATCGATCTAAAATTGAATTTCTCTCATGTTTTTGTCATAAATACTAATTAAACTGTTATTATAATATCATTGTAATGTATTTATCATCTATATTTCAGATTTAACCTTAATATAAGAACAACAACGATACACTTCAATCAGCAATTGAATTGTGCAATTTATTGTGAGGAAGTAAGTAAAACAAATTTCAGACTGAATAGTATTCAGGTACAAGAAAAAACAAAAATCAACCAATTCTATGCAACATTTCATATCACAAATAAAAGGATGCTCAGCATCAGCTATTTTATGTATATACATTGAAGTGTCCAGTCCATTGTTGTGCAAGATTTTCGTGATAAAATTATGATCTTTATCTAGAGATTTTTCGTTCTTTTTCAAGATGATCTTTCTATATTATCATTTTACAAACAATAAAATATTCATATCTATGAATAATAAATCGAATCACTTTTACTCATCTTTGCCTATTAAATTGTAATCATTTTAATAATGATTCATAGTCGATGATGTATGAGATCGAAAATAAATTCTCTTGAAATATCGACATATGGCTTTTCTTATCTTGCAAAGATAAAAGAAAGCTTAAGAACTCTTTGTATACTCCTATTGATTCAAAACTACAATGCATTTGATTGAATCAGAAATAAATCCAACGACATCTCTCTCTGTAGTATTCCGCATTTGAAAGATGATAAATAACTTAGTTTAATTTTTCTATTGAATGAGTATCGCAGATCGATATTTCATCGGATTTAGTTCTAACACAATCAAGTCAATTGTAATTTTCGAATAAATAAAAGTTTAATTTAATCAAATTCTTCGATCGCTTGCTATAATATGATCCATTAGTAACAAGATAGATTCACAGATGAGTCTTCGTAGAGTAGTTAAACAAATCTCAAAATCAATATTCGATCACTTAGTGAAATATGTGAAAAATTCATATTAACATGCGCGATTTGATTATGTTAATGATGGGTTGATACCTACTTTCATTAACAAGAACATCCTCTTTATAGAAACGAACAAATATTTCAGATAATGAAATTTATAATCGATATAGACTTCCTCAATTTCATATTTATATGTAGTATTACCAATGAAGCTTTGTTGAAAAACCATCATCGACAAACAACTGTTCAAAAGAAAGGAAACAAATTTTTAAAGTAGCAGCCAGTTTTGATGCTTTTTCCTATATGCAAATCGTTGCAAATTCAGCATGTCGATATCCATCTTTGGACAAGAACAAAAAAAATTATTATATATGAAATTATCGATGAGCAGTTACAATCACTAGCCTTGATGTTTCATTCAAAACAATATCAATTTTCTCTTTTTGTCAGATCACTATTAGTATTGATTTTCAAAAAGCAAATGAAATTATTTCTACGAGCTGACGAGATTCAATCGAAATTTACGTTCATAACTGTTACTCATTACTAGCGAAATAGAAATATATTAGATGAAACAAGTCAGAGTGAGAATGGATACTATCAGTTAAAAATAATATTTTTGATTAAAACAGCAAAGAATAATCAGATTGTTTTATTGACGGAAAAAGAAGATACAAAAAAATTCATGAATCAATTTGTACATCTGCTTAGACATCTCGAAAACTTGTAGTATTTTGACTAATATATTTAATTCAAATTATATAAAAAGGAGTTTGTGAATGCATAGGCAAACATGTAACTTTATATGAGAGAATATAATATCAAAAACTAATCCTTATTAATAATTGAGTTCTCTTCATTGTTTTCGATTACATAGAATTGATATATAGTTGATTTCGAAATTGTTTATTTAGAATTAGAAATCAAGAAATTAGAATAAGTTATCGATTTAAATAATTATGATCATTTATAATTGAATTTAATTTCATCATTAACAAACTTATCTTTGCTAGACCATTCATCAAATCATCATGGTACAAAAACGTCAATTATCCAACGATGAAAATCTAATTTGCATTACGTATCATGATGAAAAGTTGTTAGTGCACCATCGGGATCAATTGCAATCACGTCTTGAAGAAATTTTTCACTACTCAAGAATTTTTACTGATCTTATTGAATTCTGTACTTATATCAAGGATAAATTTCATGGATATAGACTAGTATTTATTTTCTGTGGTAATCTAGCTCAACATCTATGTTCTGTGGTAAAATCTCGTATAATAGATTCAGAAAATTTTTTTCTTTATGAATTGCAATTTGGCCAAGAAAGATTATTATCAAATTTACCCAATGGTCAACGATTTCAAAATATTGATCAATTATTCGAAAAAATTATTTATGACTTAGGAGGATCCATGGAGAATCAACATGATCCTAATCAAGAAATTCCACCAAATGATGAATTAAACCTTCAACAATCTACATTAACTTTTGATATCTATAGTCGATTTCAACAGCAAAAACCATTTTATTCTTTATCTCGAGAATCACGTAGATTCATTTTATTTCAATCTTTTATTGAAATATTGTTGAAAATAGAAAAAACTCAACATGATCTTGAAGAAATGTGGGCAGCATGTTGTCGAGAAGCAAATATTGAGAATAATGATATCTATATCAAAGAAATTCAAGATTTTCAACAAAAATATATTCCAAACGATGCTATTCGATTTTATAGTAAAAATTCATTTCTTTTTCGATATATCAATTTTGCATTACGATGTGAATCTATAGAAAAGATCTTTACATTTCGTCCATTTATAGCTCATTTACATCAACAATTAGTAAAATTAGGTAGTCAACAACGATCAACAAGACAACGTTCAGAATATACATTCTATCGAGGTGTTAAATTACCAAAACAAATTTTACAAAGATTATCCGATAATAAAGATAATCTCATATCGATGAATGGTTTTTTATCAACAACAAAAAGTAAAACAGTAGCAGATATGTATGCTGATCCAGATAATCCTGTATTGGGCTATGAATCAGTTCGATTTGAAATGCATCTTGATGAAAATCAATTAAATGAAATTATCATAACTAAACGTCCGTACGCCGATATTTCCAATAATAGTGATTATCGAGATGAAGATGAAGTTCTTTTTTTTATGGGATTTATTTGGTATATAAAATCTGTGGAACAAACATCAGAAAATCTTTGGAAAGTTGAATTAGAACTATCAAAAGACTTACATGTATACATGAATAGTCATTTTGATGAATCAATAAACAATTATGATTATGTCGCATTAGGCAAAATTTCACATGAACTTGGCGAATATACTAGTGCTATTAACTTTTTTAAACGTATGCTTAGATTATCACCAAATCTTTCACAATATGATCGTGCCAAGATTTATCTTCACATTGCTAAATCAGAATATGCCAATAATGCATATGAAAATGCAATTGAAAATCTTCAAAAAGCAAACGAAAATATTTGTAACGTGTCTATATCAAATGACGAAACGAATTTTCCTCTTCGACCAAACTATGCAGATGATGCAGAACTTTCAACAATATCCATGTTAAAAAATATGGGTTTAGTTTATCGACAGATAAATAATTATGAAAAAGCAAAAGTTTCATTTGAAGAAGGTCTTCGACAATCTCTTTCAAATACAGACAAAGCTGAATTACACTATGCTCTTGGTGAATTAGAGTTTGAATTCAATCGTTCTGTTATAGCAAATAATCATTATCATCTAGCACTTGAACTAGCTGAAGAACCATCATTAAAAGAAAAAATAAATAGAAAATTAACACATGTTTAATTACTACATTATTTTTATATCGTATTAAAAGATGAATGTATTGGAATTCATAATTATGTATTTCTAATAAAAAGGACTCTAAATTAACAAGTAGCGCTCATGCTTCGGATTCGCTGACCCTTTTCTGAAAGAATGGCACTTCATCGTGAATTATAAAAGCAATCTAAGATGAACTCGTAGGAAGTTTGCTTCGGAAGATAGCTATGCGACACATTAACTAATCCAGTCGTGACTTATTCTCTTATTCAATAAATGAATGTATATAGAGCAAAAGAAGAAAGAAGAAAGAACAAGAATTAAGAAAAAAAGAACAGAATAAATATCTCGTTACATAGCCACGTGTCGATTAACCTAATTCAATCATGGTCCAATCAGGCTCTGTGCACAAAAATGAAGCTAAAAATTCAGATGTTCAATCGTATTATCATAATTTCTAATCAGAAAGAGTGAAATAGTAAACACGTGCTCATCAATAGATCTGAGAATTCTGAAAATAAGAATGTGAGAAATTTAAAAGTCTATTTTTGAAAAGGTTAATCGAAAAAGTCAGGAGATGCATTCGAAATCTGATTACACTGCAATACGTTCACGCGTTGGTATGGTCGAATACTTAACTCTAGCAACCAAACTTTTATTTTCATTGTCCATATGGTAATTTGAAAGTGAAGACTTCGAAATTTTAATCTAAAAAGATTCCGTTTGATGATCGGTATTTACAAAACTCAGTCAATCACTTTTAAGAAACAAGTGACGCGACTTTTTGGTCGCTAAGCCCTCTAATGACAGAAGTACAATGTCATAAAGGCACAGTAGCATGGTTTTTTTCAGACTCTTCGATTACACCAAATGATATCTCTAGTGTATAATCATCGATCAATGATCATAATGTGATTTGAAAAAATGAGATATTTTGATTTTTAGCGAGGACCTGCACTATAATCGTTTTGCTTTCACAACCTAGAGGGCTCTACTGAAGTACAATATTTTATCAGTTTTATTCTCACTCATTGAATAGTCACAACCGAATAGACCGGATTGGCACATAATCACTCAACTAGTTAGAGTGGTCCGACAGGTTCTTTTTACAAACGTTCTGTTCGACGACTAGCCGTTCCCTTGCTATAATGTACTTCGTACACACATTCTCGTTTCCTAGACATAATATACATCATTTTGACTCCGCTTTTTTCAAAAAGCTGTTTCCCTGAAAACTGAACAAACACTAGCCTTATACAACATACACAGTCATCTACCTGCGAGTCTAATTTGCTTGTTGTTTTGTTCATCTGAAGCACCGTTCCGGCCGAA